CACAGAAAACACACAACCACAAACACACAACCAGAAACACACAACCAGAAACACACAACCACAAACACCTAACCACAAACACAAACACAACTAGAAACACACAACCACGAACACACAACCACAAACACACAATCACAAACACACAACGACAAACACAATCACAAACACACAACCACAAACAGAGCAACAAACACACAACCACAAACACACAATCACAAACACAACCACAAACACACAACCACAAACACACAACCACAAATACAACCACAAACACACAACCACACACAATCACAACACAACCACAACACACAACCGGAGGACCCAAGCAAAATCGAGAACCACAAAAGTCACCATAGTGTGGGAGCAATCAGTGCGAAGATATGCCAGAATGACTGGGGTCGGATGCATTTCCATATCTGTTGGCGCAGCTGTTTGCAAAGAGACGTGAGACAGGCAACATCCTACAGCAAGTATAGTACATACTACTACTACTACTACTACTCCTCCTGCTGCTGCTGCTGCTGCTGCTGCTGCTGCGTCTGCGTCTGCGTCTGCGTCTACCACTACCACTACCACTACGACTACTACTACTACTACTACTACTACTACTACTACTACTACTTGGGCCCCGGAAGCTTCCAAGTTTCGGGCCCCGAAGCTCGGGCCCCGAACTGTGCACTACTTTTGCCATTGCTACTACTACTACTACTACTACTACTACTAACTACTTACTACTAACTACTAACTACTAACTACTAACTCCTAATACTACTATTACTACTACTCGGGCCCTGGAAGCTTCCAAGTTTCTGGCCCCGAAGCTCGGGCCCCGAACTGTGCACTACTATTGCTACTACCACACTACTACCACTACTACTACTTGCGAATACTACTGCTACTACTGCTGCTGCTACTACTACTACTGCTACTACTACTACTCCTCCTCTACTACTACTGCTCGGGCCCCGGAAGTTTCCCAGGTTCGGGCCCCGAACTGTCTCCAACAGCAACCACTACTACCACTTCCACTACCACTACCACCACCACTACTACCACTACTACTACTACTACGACGACGACGACGACTACTACTACTAGGGCCCCGGACGTTTCCAAGGTTCGGGCCCCGAAGGTCGGGCCCCACTACTACTACTACTACCACTACCACTACGAGTAGGACTAGGACTAGGACTAGGACTGCTACTCCTACTACTACTACTACTACTACTATTCTACTACTGCTCGGGCCCTAGAAGATTCCCAGGTGAAATGATCTGAGTTGTATTATTAGTTGGGCACAGGTCTCCTGATGAAAGCATTCGCTTCGGACAAAGCAGTAAGACTTGGCGCTGAAGGACTTGTGCTACGGGCTGAAATAGACAACGGGGGTGATGTCAACATGGTTGTTTTGAAATGTCATGGTGTGACTTCGAGTATTTTTTTCCCAGAGGAGGGTTGGAGCCTCCTGTGCATAAGCATGCATAATGTGGTCTACTGTAAAATTTGTATGTGTGTGGCGAAAGACTTGCATCTTGCATTTGGAAGATGGAAAGATTCGAAAGACTCATTCCATGGATCCGTCTCTTTATTTTAGAGTCCAAGTAATGTATCCCGACGGTTCTAGTCAACTGATTCTTGCACTAATTTCAACCTTAACTTGGGATGATTGAATCTATATATATTATTAATCTCAATGACTTTACAGCAATGGCAATACTACTGTTACTACTGTAATATTTGTTTTACTATGTTTCTATGTTTCAACCAGGTATAATTCACTATTTCAGAATTGTATGGTCGTTTTTGGAGATCTTGCGCTTTCGCACTTTCAACTCAAGAGTGTTGATGATTCGGGACCTGACTGTCCTCTTCTGAGCTTGAGCTGACCTGACTGTCCTCACCATTCCTGTTGGATTCTGAACTGTTTTGATCCTTTTTGTGGATGACTTTATAGGAAACCAAAAGCAGTTTATTGGATTCGTGGATTGGTTTGGATGATTTTGTAATTGGATTCCCCAAAGTAGTTTTTCATTTGTTCGGGTTCATGGAAGTCAGGGGATAACTCAAGGTGCTGACTATCGCTCGAGCCATCATGGGAGTGTCACCACACCATGACTTCGTTCCTGCGCAAAAGAGACAGGAAGACATGACAGAAATAAATATACCGTACATGATCAACAAGGGTTGTTGAAACAATGTGTTTCGAAACTTTATCGTTTTTTGTTGCCTCACGCACTCCCTGCACGCACGCACCCGCACGCTCGTTCGCTCCCTTACTCCCTACTTGTTTGTTTGTTTGTTTGTGTGTGTGTTTTTGTTCTGTTGCATTTGTTTGGTCTGCTGTTTGTTCTGTTCTGGTCTGTTTTGGTTTGGTTTGCTCTCCTCCCTCCCCTTTTTCTTCTTCTTTCTTTCTCCAAATTAGAGATGTTGGTCCTGAGATCTCTAAATGCTACGCCTCGGCAGGAGGATGGCGACAAACGCCGAAGTGGCAAACCCATCATTGCTCCCCGGCCACACAAACGCTTTGGGAGGTGCGACCCGCTGTCCCTTTCCGTTCGGGGTCACCCATGGACAACATTCCACCACATATACATAGTTCTCCATAGGACACCCCGACCGGAAGTGCTAGGATAGGAGTGTGTATGAAAGCACGGAGACCTTAGGGAGACCGTCCTGCCCTTTGGGATCTTTGGGTTGTGGTCTATGCCCAGAGTCGCTTTGAGGGGTCTTCCATAGCTGAGAAGAGCCTCAAGCATTGAGGTGGACTGTCGGATCTGTTCTTTTGATGTTTTTTCTTGTAATGTAGACGGTTGATTCCCCAAAAGTTGGAACCCGTCTGCAGAAATGGCACCTTGCATCTCCAGTCTTGGGGGGTTATAAGAACCACCATTGCAAAGTCGCATCAGGAAAGTCGCATCTAGACCCTGCAGTCGAGTGAAACAGTAAGCTAAAGAGATGGCATCAAATGATCGCACCACAAAAACGGGTCCCAGGAGGTCAAGCTGCCGGCACAGAAGCCGCGTCTGCCAGAAACACATCCAACCACCGAGCCACAAAAGACCCTTCGGAAGCAAAAAGGCTCACAACAGTTGTTTGTCTTGGAGTCAAGAACGCCAGCGAAAGGCTGGCAGTTGTCTTCAAAAGTTATGTTTTTGAGCGTTGCCCGAAACACGAGAACCAAGTGTTGAGACTGGGCTGCACAATGCGTCAAATTGTGAAGGTGAATGAGCCCGCCACCAAAAAAAGCAAGCCAACTCAGTTGTAGCCACACACGCATTGTCATCAAGCTTCCACCGCAAGCCTTGAAAGAAAGCTCTAAACTGTACCCAATCTGTACCCTACGAAAGGGTCATTTCGATGGAGTTGTCTTCGCGTTCGTGAAATCTTGGGGCCATCGCTCACGATGGGAGTGGAAGCCCAAGGTCACAGAAGGCCGCAATGGAAAGCGTGCACACAGATTTCTGACAGGTTCAGAAAGCTTCGGAGTGGAAGCCTTAGGCTCCACTTTAGGCTCCGAAGTGGACTTTAGGCTCTGACTTTAGCATGAAGATTATGAAGCTTTAGGCTCCGAAGTGGACTCCTTCCGACTCAACCAGGTGGAGGCTGCTTCGCCAACAGCCCAACTTTGACTCGCACCAGCCATTTCTGTCGGCGTAAACCAGCTGTGAACAAAATAAGCTTTGGTCATCAGGATGTAATGTATTGCTCACCCATCAAATGGCATATTGTTTTGCAACCTGATGTGCTTTCCCGTTGTTTGTAATATCAAGGCATGTTGAACTGTGCCCAAACGCAATCTCCTTTGTAAAGACCTCGACCGGGAAGGCTCAAGGAGATGGCTAAGAGTCCTGCGGGGTTTTATTCATCAACAGTTTGCATCAAGTGATTCTGAGGGAATCTCATGCGATCTTACTAATAGGCAGTTTTTGATGGTTTTTGGTGTTCATCAATGTTCAACCCACAAAGCATCATTTGCGGGTACTGAATGCAAAGCGGATGTGGGTTTTCTGAATGCTTCTACGTAGTGGATGTTGAGAGTTACGCTCAACTTCAAGGTTCCTTTTGGAGCGGAGTCTTTTTGTTTGCACCAAAGCTCACGCTTTGCCACTAGCTTGCCTGCCAAACACTAGAGTTGGCTTCCTGGTCCGTCCTGCTTGGCCAAATTCATTCTTCCTGCGCCCGGCCAGGCCAGCCCCCAGTTGCACCCGAGGCCAGAATTCACATGCGACAGGCCACTCGTTAGGATCCTTGCCTGGCTCTCCAGGCAAGCAAAGATATTTAGACGTCCTTGCTTGGCCAGGCATCAATCATTCATAGATCCAATACATGGGACCCGGTCCTGAAGCGGTAGGCTGGCGAAACAGTGTATCCGGTCATGGCCCTTCGCCCCGAGACTCCATGCGGCTCCATCCTCAAAAAGTGTGGCGTCTCACGTTTGGCAGAACAGGTGATTCTGATGACCGGTCCATATAGCTTATAGCTCATGATCATAAAGGCTACTTTTTTGCGTTGACGATATTTGGGGCGTATAGTCAGTGGTAGCAAACCAGAAAGCAAGTTTCAGTGTTGCAACCACAAGTGTCGATTTCAGATGGGTTGGGAAGGATTCTGGTGTATTGACCGAATGTAAATATAATATAGTTTCAGACAACGCCACACATCGCCAGCTCTATATTTGATTCTATTTGCTCTTGTTTGTGGGCCCATGGACTTATCAACCTACATAATTAAACTTGATTATTATCTATATTATTACACGGACTCAAGCGGTATTTGTTCCAAGCAGCTGCACAAAGCCGAGGTTTCAGCTGCACATGTGCAAGGCTTGGAGAACAACGAGCGACATTTTAAGGAGACCCGTTGTCCTCGTGGAGCAGACTCGCGTGGAACGGCTGGTGGTTTCGGCCCGCCGGGGTCGTGGGTGAATCGCCTTTGAGTCACATGACACAAGAAGCTTAGTGGGAGCTTGGCTCCTTGACAGATGGACATATCGGAAATGATATGGATAGGCTACATGGCGTCAGTAGGCGCTTCAGGATAGGACTACGATAAGAAGGACTAGTGAGGACGAGTAGTCACGCATTTGGTATGATTGGTGATTGGTTGATGATGCTGATGGGATTGTGTTGCTCCTTTAAACGCGGACTTCTGAGTGGTTTGCTTCGGCCCAGACTGACTGCCGTTTTCCAAGCCGACGAAGTTCGCACCAAAGACTGCAGAAATTACGTGTTCTTTTACGCCGCTGTTGCGTTTACTCCCTTGGAGACTCAGATGGTTGGTAGAGGAACACAATCTTGTAGGGAACCATGGACCTCAGGGTCCAAGTGTTCCGGAGGGCACATCAAACTGGATGTTTTTGCCTACGGGTGTAAAACCGAACGTGTGACTACTGCGATTTTTGAAGTTGATGCTACGTGAAAGGTGGGGGGGTTTGGGTGGGGTGGGATGGGCATATTGACGTTCGTTTGCACTTGCTATCTGAAGTTGATGCTACGTGAAAGGTGGGGGGTTGGGTTGGGGTGGGATGAGAACATTGTCATCATTTTCACGACAAGTAATCTTCGGTTTCATAGCATTGTCATCGGTTTCACCACATTATCTTCGGTTTCATATCATTGTCATCGGTTTCATAACATTGTCATCGATTAGTCGTGTGATTCGCGGATGGCAGTGGCGTTGGGAAAACACCACGTGTACTAACTTGTGCAAAAAAACTGCGTAAGTCTACTTCAGACAGGACGCATGAAAGTTGAGGACAGCCCGGGACAAAAACGGCGACGGATTTTGCGCTGGCGCTTGGGTTTCGGCAGATTCGGCTTTAAAAATGAAAGGATCCGGGACCCCCAAAAAGCATCATCGAACAACAAAAGTACTGAGAGGGCTTGCACTTTTGAATCAAAATTTGCACGACTACACGTGCGATTCCACACCCGGCGGGATGTTTTTCATCCTCTCTGTCAGGATGCCGCGGTGGCTCACACGCTTCATCGGCCCGTGAAATTCTCGGCCGAGCCGCGTTGAGGCGCCGCACCCGGTGTGTCCGGACGGCGTTCAGCAGACGGGACGGGACGGGGTTTGGACGCCGAAGCGTCACCGTCCGAAGCGGCGGGTGGGTTTCCCGCCGGCCGTGGTTTAGAGTCTTGGATGGTTTAGAATGGTTGGTGGCCCACGGCTGGGATCCGGATGGGATCGGATGGCACGGTGCACGTGTCTGACAAGGGCTTTGGAAGCAGACCAAAACGATGCCTTCGACCAACGCTTTTCTTTCTCCTTGGAGTGAAAGAGCCCCCCAAACCAATGCAAACCAAAAAGCTACCCATGGCCCATGCTTAAGGTCATGTATGATCATGTGCACATCAAGATCAGATATGCATATATTCTGACCAACCTAAACTGCTGGATGTGCCTTCCTAATCAGTCCCAGCAGGTGGCAGACTTGGTTTCCAAAAAACATTCTTGGATTGAGGATCCCATGTGTGCACCACCAAGTTTGATGTCACCTTATGACCTCGACCACCCGCCCACACATGATGCCCAATACCTTGCAGTGGCCATGCTACACATGAAAACATTCGTAGAACGCCCCGGAAGGGGAACCGAATGGAGTCCTCTGGTCTTTGGAGGCACCAAGATTGAACACTCCAGCTCCAAAGCTGGGACTTCCCCTCTCAGGTGCCGGCGTCCGCGCTCATCGCTTCGCTACGCCCTGCTTTGATGGCTTCCGTGCCGAATGCTGCCCGCACATGTGGAACAAAAAGAGGCACTCAACGAATCAGACCCGGACCGACTCAAGAGTCCATGAGAGAACGACAATGATCCAATCAGGTTTGGGATGGACAAGAGACCCGATCAGTCTTAGAGGTTGGCTTTGAGATGTGTTGAATTGTTTTTTTTTTTTAAACATCATAATCATTCTCAGGCCCCTTGGGTGGTTTGGACATCTGATTCATTGGTGAAGTCATGGTCCGGCTTAAACCGGTCCATCGAAAAGCTCCGCTGGATAGTATCAAGGCTGCGAGAAATGTCTGTCCAAGTGACTTCCGACTATAGAATACTATAGACACATGAAAAAACAACAAAGTTGTTCAATATATATATATATATATATAGGATACCTCTCCTTCCCGGAAAAAAAAACGAATTGAGCAAACTCTCGGGGCGCATGTTTCAACATGTTAAACGCCCTATGCACTGCGGCAAAACGGTCAGTGGACAGGATTTCTTTTTCAGTCGTCGAAGATGGTGCCTTTCCTCTTGACTACTGCTAGAAAGCAGCAGAAGATTTCACAGGCACAGAACCGACTCTCCCCACGGGTCGCTCCACCGGTCGCTTCACCTCAGGTCCGAATCGGGATCGAGGTCCGACTCGGGGTGAAGCCACGGCTGTCCGAGACGCCAAAGAGACGCCACGGGATGTGCAATCGATTCAGTTGGAGCAGAACAGAATATGCTGCTTGCCATGACCTTCGGTTTGACCTTATTGGCTTTCTGTTGGCCGAACTCAGGGAGTCCTGCTCCCATCCTGGGATCAAAAATCACTTTGAGGGTCGAAGGACTAGGTGGAAATGTCTAGGTAACATGCTTGAATCGAACAGATCCCAACATGATCATTTGTCAATCAGTATGAGCTCTGTCGACATAAAGGATCATTAAATTGACAATGACGCTGCGACCGATGGAATTGGTGTGTTTCGATCCCTTCGATCCGTCACTACGTCAAATTTATATAGATACGGATGGGCGAACGGTCAACATATTTTGGGTGGTTGGTGATCCAAAATAGAGGTCACTCAGTAGGTCACTCATGTTCCGCGGTATACCCTAGAAGTCCATATAGTTTAAAGACAGACTTCATGTTGCCCCGCTGAAGGATTTCGGAAGTTGGACCTATTTGGGTGCTCGTCCAACCGATAGCTGGACTCCGAGTCTCGGATGAAAGGAACACCTCCCACCTAGCGGCGATGGCCTCCAACCTAGCGTCCGATCGCTCCTAGTTAGCAATGCCAATGCCCCTTGGTTCCTAGTAGCTGCCTGTTCCTAGTAGTAAGGCCAGGAGCCCCTAATAGTAAATAGCATGCTTGCTCCTAATAGCGATGGCCTCCAATAATGCGACCGAATCGAACCTCCTGTGGTTGACCGACTCATCGCCGGTCACCACCGCGGTCTACCCAGGATGAGATATACACTCCCTGGAAGTAAAGAAGTCATGGATTTGATTCATTCGCAGATCATTTGAAAACACCACATGTCATTGCCAGTTTCAGTGGAACTCACTTTGCCTGTTAGACGAGCCCCAAGAGGCCATGAAAGGCAGGTGACGGAAGCTCTGAAGCTCCAGATGTTTGGGGTGAAGAACGTGGTCTCAATCGGCACCAAACAGGCCATGAAAACATCCCAATATTTGCCATGAAAACATCCCAATATTTGGAGGTTCCATACTCAGAACATAGAACTCCAAAAATGGAACCTCCAAATATTGAATGTTTTCATTCTGAGTTTGTTGGAGTCCGGGCACATCCCAATTCGGCTCGTCCACTCCGAGCTTCTGAACCTGTCCGGTGTGCGACCAACGGAGGTCAGGATCAGAGGGAAGTCCGAGGGCCTCAGCACACGTCGGCCGGGCCGTTGGTGTGAATGGCGGGGCGAAAACCTGAGCAGCTATGATAACCTCAAATCATTTAAATCAATCTCTTGGCAAAAACATATCAGAAAATAATTGATAAATTTATAAGTGATGATAAATGAATTCTTTGAGGAAAACAGATCTCCATATTATATCTTCGGAAGATCTCTAAGGAAGACTCCATGAACCCCCAAAGTCCTTCTGTCCTCCCCCCTTGACACGATTTGGGTCCCTCGAAGCACAGCTAGTTTTGTTGAAGACAAATTTTGATTTAAGGCCTCAGGGCCTTTGGAATTGCGCAGGTTCTCGTAGCCGATGATGTTGCATAGTTTGTTTCATTGAAGTTTCAGCTGCCTGTTTTCGGTACTCTCTGATCCACTTGGATAACGCGGACGCCAAAGCAGACGCAGATTCGGGATTTGCCGGAGGCAAATCGATAAGTTCGGGATGCTGGCTTGTTTTTTTCCCTTTTCTTAGAGTGGGTGAGGGTGATGTTGGTATATGTATTTTCCCTATGGGCCATCCCCTTCTGGTGATTTTTCATTCTGTCCCTGCTCCTTAAGCAAATCAATTATAGGATCAGGACCTCTCTCGGAAGCCTCCCAATCACCAAAAGAACGACGACCTTCGCGAATGCATTCCTTGCTAGTGGAGCAGGTGGACGACAGGGTGGACCACATGGAAGAGCTTGTTCAGATGAAGAAGAGGGGTGCTGCTCAAGCTGCGGCTTGTATTGGAATAGGGGCCTAAAGATCCCTGAAAGAGGAAAATAGACAAAACATTTGGTCGCAGGGTCCATCAATAAAATACAGCACATTTAAACATGGGAATTAAGATACTTCAGCAACGACCAGCACGCCCACCTCCGTGATGGGAGTGAGCGGGTATGCCAACGATGTTGCAGCGTAGTGGCAAGCCGGATTCCGGACGTTCCTACTGGTTTAGACTCTTTGGAGAACATGAGTCGCTGCTGCTGGTGGTCTTGAAAAGGAGTTTGTCATGATTTGTCCACAGTCTGAATACCACTTCCACTGTCTGTTCGTTCTGCGCCGGCAGTCCCAACATCGCGGCCCATGTCGCCCATGTCTCCCATGTCGACTGACATGTCTAGCGCAGACGTTCGTGCAAGTCACTTAAGCGAGCTGTGGAAGTGTGGAACGTTTGGAGCTGAGAAATGGTGCGACAGTGCTGCCGCGACAGGGCGGCGCCGAAGGACGTGAGACACGGGAACACCGAGGCGAATCGAACAGAAGTGTTCATTCAAACATGGACTATACCTGGACCATCCTGTCTGGGTGAATGGAGATCCCGGGTCGTAGTGCAGTCCATTGGCAAACTTAAACCCCCATTGGATGGTCCACCATAGTCATTGACCCCTTGAAAGCATCCCTGATCTAGTGGGCAGATTGGTCTCGGATAGGGGTGCATCTGGGGCATGTTCTGGTGGAGGAGAGGGGTCGATTTGTTCGTGCTACAATGGGTCTGAACGTGTCAGCTTCATAGACATTCCTGTGGAAGCCACCGGCCGAGCCGAGCGAAATGGGCATGGTTGGGGTGGCCCCATTCTCGTGACCATAGACACGGAAGCCATGTGTTTTGCTAGAGGAACAGTATGCCTTTTGGAAGATTTCAGTCTTTTCCCAGACTTTTCCAGGTCTATGAGTAACTCTATGTTGCCCCCAAGTGGGAGACGTCAGTCTCCACAGACCATTGAACAGCTTAACTCACACATCCAGGTTGCTGAGGCTTACCCCCAAAATGTTCACAAGAGGCATAGCCGAGAGTCACAAGACGGGGTGCGATCCATGGAGGAAGTCGGGGTGCCCAGCTACTCCACTCACTGGATGGGACTGAGCACCACCCCGACATGACCTCCTCGAGGGTCGAAGCTGGGTGCATTTTCAGGGGGGACCACAGCCTGGCCAGTGTGGGGACCACACGCAAGACCGTCCACCGCACAAAACCACGGTATGTGGACCACAAAACCACACTTCTGGCCACTGAGGTACCTGTTGGCTGGTGTTTTTTTGATTTCCGTGTGTTCGGTTCAGGAAATCCAACTGGGCCACCCACATATGGCCTGGGCTTGTTTTCGGCGTCAGACGCCACGGTCTTCGCTCTTCGTAAGCATTCAACAGCGGCCACCGGGCACCCCCATCGCTCGCCCCCATCGCTCGCCCCGCAGGTGCTCTTAGCGGCCACAGATTTGGAAGAGGCCGACGATCCGACGTTTCCCGCTGGTTGCTTCACTCCGGTACCTGAGTCGAGTCAGGTTTTGGGTCGAAGCACCCCACAGCTTCGGGTCGATCCAAACACGTCGTTGACGTCATGTCCATAGTCTCGAATGCTCCTGATGTGGTACTTGATGTACAACCCCATATTGGTACCCCGGCATCTGATCTGTTCAACAGGGGCAGATCGGTTGATCGGTGACTCGAACCGTTAGCCTTGTTGGTGGACACCCCCGTTGGCCTCGCATGGTTCTGTAGCTTGAGCCTGATAGCACAGCGAACCTGTCGCATGGACACTGTGTGCCACTCTGAAGTTTCCACCAATGCTGCGAAGAAGACGAGCCGAACGTTGATTTTCTTGTATATACCTTCTGCTGCCGCCGCCATGGTGAAGGCTCTACTCCACGAAAGTAAGCATGCTGGTCTGTGGTCAGGATGCGTACGTTCACCAGAGAGCTCTGATAGCTGCAATTTCTCGGTGAACTGATCACAGCGTTTGGCCAGCCTTCTATCCAGCAGTCCAACAGGCAGCCCACCCAATAGCGGGGTGCGCAAGGTCCGAGAAGGAAGACGGGAAGCCATGTGGGGTTCCCTAAGCCGCCTCGTAGACGCCGTTTTTCCTCGTGGGCTCGCAGGCCACGATGAGTGCCATCCACTTCCTCGCGGCTCAAGACTCGGCGGAGGCGCAATTGCCCGGGAGAGCAGGAGCTCTCGTGCGGCGGGAGAGCGAATTTGGAGGTGTTTTTGGGTAGGACGGGAAGACAACTTGTTTACACTCTGACTCGATGGAGCTGGAAAACAGTCCCTTGGAAGACTCCAACCTCCTATTCGTTCCAGGAGAACCTCCACTTCTGTGTCAGCAAGAGTGAGGGTTTTGGATGGGACCCAGATTAGGGTGGCTCACCTCATGCATTTGGTTAGAAGCCTTCTTCACCCATGGGGGTGTCGAAGTTTATGGTATTTGATCGGAACCATGGAGTACCAACCAT